GGAGTGGACCACCAAAACGAAAGCCGCTCTGTGCCCATCGCTTCAGTGAGTCGTATAAATGAATGACTAGGATCATAAAAGCGGCTTTCAGCCATATAATTGCTTCATTTCCGAGCTGAATGGTTATTTTTGATGGGCCCATATTATGCATGAAAATTCAATTTCAAAATAAATGGGTATCATAAATTGACCGTGGAAGCTCCCTGAAGCTCTGAACAACAGCCCCATTAAATTTTAATTGAGGTTATTGAGGTTAATTTATGAGGAAGATATAGGAGGTAATGGGAGAATTCCAGGAGGAGTCTTCACAAAAATACAAAATTTCATGGAGCTTTTTCTTTATTTCTTTTTCCCAATTTCAAATTTAACTATGTAAACATGTAAACAACTAACTCCGACAAGATCTTACCTTGAGGGTACTCCTTATCGGAGTTTTACTAATTCTTAAATCTATTTTTCCAAAAAAAAATCACAGGACGAGCTCCGTGGTCCAAATGGTCCCGGTCGGACCTCCGTGAACGAAAGAATACGTTCGTCGGCGAGGCGAGCAGAACTTTGGTCTCGCACATACAATGGGTACTCTTTTATCGTCACGAATTGATCTTTGAACTCTCAAATTAGGTAAAATAAATCCAAAATAGTCAGAGCTACTTTGGACAGCGACAGTATGAAAGCGACTTTCCTGTAGGGTGATGAAAAATTGAAAAAAAAAACAGAAATAAAAAACTGAAATCTGTAAACAACACGAAAAGCAAACAGCGTAGACCAGCTTTCAGGAGCCAAAAATAAAGTAAAAATTCAAAAAAAAAATCGATAAAACTCGAACGGACCTTTCTCTGGGTTCCCTGTGTGGTCTGGACAAAGTGCCATCGCTGGAATATCCATTCAGAGGTGGTGTACTGAGCAGAATTGACGATTCATCACCACCAGACATCATTTTGTTGCGGGTTCTTGACGTCGAACAACTACCGCCGTGACTAGAACGAGACACGAAACAGTTCGCCAACTGCGAGCCAGCCAGTCAGTCAGCCCAGCCCAGCCCGTACGTACGTATGTGTTGGGCGTGATACGAATTGAGGTTAGTTTTTAGGCGTGGAATACTTGTAGTGTTCGAGCGAGCGATGTTGAATGGGCGACCAGCACGGGTACACCACCGTCGGACTGCGCGTCGGAAAGTTGAGGACATCCCCCCCCCCCCCCCTGCCTCCCTCTCCCCCACTTTTCGACCATTTCGATTTGCCTCATTTATAGCGACAAACCGTCATTAAATTCGGGAATGACAATCATCGTTCAGAGTGGACGAGTTTTGCTGCAACCCAGTATTATGGGTATTTGGGTGGGAAAAACCATGGGCAACCGGGACGGGGTATAAACAGGGGTTGTAGGGGCCGTAGTTACCCAATACAAGGAACAAAAACTTCGAACCCTCCCAGATATTACTTGGGACCTCTTTCAGGATAGGTAATTACTTGAATACGTGCTAACTACATCGAAAACCTGATCGTTACACACCCATCAACCTTGTCCTAGAAATTCTGATCGGAAAATGTTGAGAGTTTTTTGCCTAATGCATTTCGACGAGGACTACACCCATAGAGTGGATGGGAACGAGTGGGTAATAGGATCGAAGGGAAGCTTCTAAAGACGGAACACTTTGAAGGAAATCTGCCGGAGGCTCATTCAGAAAGAAATTTTGTTGCTCAGTCCTAGCGGCCTGATATGGCAACATATTTATCCTTCCGCTGATTGTTGACTTGGTTGTTTATTTACTTACTCATCATTCTCAAAAAAAATGCAGAAAAAAACATTCGCTTTATGCCTTTGGCTGCACAATCAATTTTCATTAGATCATAAGATGAATAAATAAACAAACAAATGGAGACTGTTCCTTCAGCTTCCGGTCTTTTCTTTTGCTCAACTCTCTCCTTAGCATTCACACTAGGGAGTCAATGGAACGTGTTTTGGTTTTGCTTTGTCAAATAGGCTCTCCAAGAGCTCACCTGCTCAAGGTTAATATTTATTCATGTTAAGGCTATATATGGCAATGAGAGTCGTTCAAGTGAAAAGACATTTAAGTCCCAATGGTATCACCCCAATTCATAGCACGATCACAGCAGTTCTCATTACAGTTCAGAAGCTCACCAACACGGTGCTAAGGTTTGAATAGGCGGAGCTCCCGCCTAGGGGTGGAGCTTGTGCTCGGTCAGAAGCTTCCCAACAACCTACAGGCTCTGGCATCCTTTTTCAAGTTAAAACGTCATTGTTTTTGAGATCACTTAATTTTGGTGAATGCCTACATTAACGTATTCCTGGAGACTTACATCACAAACAAAATTAGGAACCAAACTAGTTGGGAATCCCAAAAATCTAGGAAGGTCAGGGAGCTGCCTAAGTCTCGAAGAAATTTGATAGTAAGCAAACGAAAACATGCTAAAACTGAAGCTTGTTACATAAGTAACAAAGTCGTTTACCTATTCGTTTGTCCACTAATTTACGCTGTATCCACAGAATGCGCTACAATGCGACTGCACAAATGGGATATTTTCTTATGGATATACGAAAATTTCTATTTTTCTTATTCGCACTTCTACCAAGATAATTGAGTAGTTTGTAGTAAAGCAATGAAAACACGACAAAAGTAAAAATTCATTTTACCTAAGTATTCTAGACGAGACATCGGGCGACGCGGTAGTTGGGGTGAACGTTCGGGACGTGTCGCACGATGGCACACCGCTGAATGTCGATCGCAAGAACGACGACTTACTGTGAGATCTGAAATCGGCCGATCACCGAAGGGAACGCTGGGTGTGGTTAAAACCGATACTACCCCGTAGAGTAGCTACTGCAGCTATGGGATGAAGGACAGGACGAGATAAAAGGAAGAAAGGAGGCATAAGAAGAGCCCGACTGACCTGTGAAAAGTTCGTTCCACACGGGCTCGTTGTTTCACGTCTTCCATCGTTTGGAATTCGGTTCGTCCACTGGAAGAACAATTTGATCAGTAGCATGGTACACCCATGTTTTCAAAATTACCTCTACGTCTAATGGGGGGAATCGAAGGGCAAGATTAGTCTAAGAGGTTCTTCGAAATCCAAATTACTGAGTTAACGAGTTATAGGAAGTCGAGGGTTCTAAGAAACACTTGAAGCATTGTATTACTCGTTGAGCACTCCCTTTTCCATGAAAATCTTTCGATATTCTTCGAACGGTTGAATGAGCCACAGGGACTGATTGGAAGGCATCAGACATCAAATCATTGAAAGCGTTGAAGTACAGAATGTTTTTGAGGATTCGGAGATGAGTTCCGGAGCAACAGCCTCTGTCGGATTGCCGGATTCATAGACATTATTTTCCTTACTCTTTGATGTCCTTGTTTTTACTCCCTCCCACAGTACAAATTTTACGGTAGCCGGCTTTCAGGTAGCAGTATTCCTCAAATTGGCGGTTTAAGTGGTTCAAAAAGAAAATTCTGAGTAATATACGGGGACAATTATAATATTATGGTAATTATTGCAATATTTTTCAGGTTGCCCCGTAGCCTAGCATGGACACGTAATGGTCCAGTGAATACAGGGGCCGCCTAGTCGACAAATCAGCAATTAACCCAGCATGAATGCTGAATGGTCCGACACCAGTCTGTCGGTTATGAATATATTTGCAGGTGCATATTGCAACACCTACCCAACCCATTGAGGGTAATTCATATACGGTGGAATTTTCCAGTAAGTAAAGGAGTAACGGTCAGAAAAACAAAAAAAAAGTGGTTTAGGGCCTAACTTGTGGTACTGTAGACTACTACATAATCCGGACTCAAAACAAAATTTGGAACAAAAATTCCTGAAAATTCAGACTCTTCGATTCACACTCTCTGGAGCGTAAGTGACGCTGCAGAAGCATAGAAAATCAAACAGCCAGACTGATAAGTTTTTACTAAGATGCGCCGCGCTCTCGACCTTTTCAGAAAATGCGATAATCATAATCACTGCTAGCTAAAGTGGAAACACCCCAGAAACTATTTTGCCCACTCAAATTATACTTATATCGAGTAGCCGATTCAGAAGGAGTGAAAGGTTTAACCGGTCCTAATGAGATTTGCCGCTCTCCCGCATTCCTTGACATTCAACATAATTAGAACCTGGGACTATTTTGAGAATCACGACCCACAACCCTGTCCGCTCACTAAACAATGGCAGGCAAGTCGTCTGAGAAATTATCTGAGCTAGGGGCGGGCAATAGAAACAGCAAAGCTCTGGAAGAGCCTATATAGGGAATGCTTGAAAGCCCTTCAACATATGTGTAGGACCAGATAGTGTCTACATGGCTAGCGCTTTCAGCAAAAGTAAGTCATACGATGGGCTTGGGCCAGAATATTATAACAATTTGGGTTTGCCCAATCCAAACTTCTGAATGCCCGACAGAAAGCCACACAAATCTGGCTTCAAACTAGAAGTTGAACCAGCCGCAGTTGGTTAGATGAGACGTCATCTTACTTGCGTACCCAAGACAAGCTTTTTGGAAGTGAATGTTGCTGTCGACGAAGCGTAATACATCCATGGACAAAGGGATTACCCGGATTCTACGAATAAAAGCGCCATGTAGGTTTAGAGGCAGCCATGTGTAAGTTCGAAACCGCTTTGGTAGTCTCTCAAGCCACCACTAAACTGGCAAAGCGTGAGGAATACCCAAGGATTTCAATAAAATCCAGATTTTTCCCAGTATTATAAACGAACCCAAGACAGATAGTATCAAATTGGCTGCTGCATCACCTTCTCAGAAAAGGCCATGATCCGTTTTCTATAGAAATTTTTAAGAAAGGTTTGAAACTATGGGACTACAAACAACTTCAAAAGCGATTTAAGAGAATAATGACACAAATCAAAAACTTGGTATGGTCGTGCAGGAAGGAACCAAGCCCTTCAGTGCCAACTCCTGAAGGCGATAGCAACGTCTATCGCCACTACCTGAGCTTCGTTGACTGTTTCAGCACATAATCCAGTTGTAAAAAATTAACTAGATGGGATTTTTGTAAAAAATCAATGACACGGGTTTCATCGAAAACCGGCAAAATGTGTATGTCATGGCGATGTATTGAAGTTGAGCCTGATGACAACAGTTCATGGTGCCGTAGCTGTAGTTTTTAGTTGATTAAAAATAGATTTCCAAAAGTAGGCGAAGGTGGAGAAAGGAGAGGAGTGCCTTGGTCAACGTGAGAGCTACTTTCCCAAACCGACCTAGTCAATGAAAATAATTAGAAAGAGATCAATAAGTACATAAAGAGGAGCACTATACTCCTGAAGGGGTAACAGGGGAGCGAGGTAAAAAGGATAACCTCATTGTCCCAACCGATAACCATTTCGAAGAATCGNTTTTTAGTTGATTAAAAATAGATTTCCAAAAGTAGGCGAAGGTGGAGAAAGGAGAGGAGTGCCTTGGTCAACGTGAGAGCTACTTTCCCAAACCGGCCTAGTGAATGAAAATAAGCAGAAAGAGATCAATAATTAAATAAAGAGGAGCACTATACTCCTGAAGGGGTAACAGGGGAGCGAGGTAAAAAGGATAACCTCATTGTCCCAACCGATAACCATTTCGAAGAATCGGGTTATCAGTAAGATCTTGGTTGACAAGATTACCAACAACATAACTAACCAGTAACGATACTTGCTTCCGATCGACAGCAGACCACGAGGAGGTGCCAATGGTGGAGCTATTAGGCGAAAGAACGTATGGTGTTCGATACAGGCTTTCCATAGCTGTTTACATGCTGGTGATGACATCACGTGGAACGACAGTACGGTATCAGGGGCCTATACGGTAGCATATCAACATATAGGACAGTGATTAATTTTTGAAAAAATTTATTGAAAAACAGAGATTCAAAAAAGAAGCTCACGTTCGGTTCTCCTAACTTGATATGTACATAGAAATTCTTCTTTTTAAAACTGATCTTCATAATTGTCGCCCAGGCAAATTCGTTGATTTTCGTGCCTTCATGAAATACTACCATACCATACGAGTTCACACCGATCCCTATCGGGAGATTCTTCCCATCCTGTAATTATCAAAGTTCTGGCCAAAAAGGGAAAAATCTCTATGTTAGTGGGTAATATGTGTAGCTGATGATAAAAATATGACATCAACGTACTAATTTTTCTACTATTTAGGATACGGACTGCAATAAGGGTACTAACAAGCACCCAGTACTAAAAGAATCGCTATCAGTAGATTTCTTCAACCCAAACCAACATTTTGGGCCACCAGGAAGCTAAGGTCGTCAAGAAGGCCTATTTGCCTCACAAAAAAAGGCAAAGAAGGAGATTTAGATTGAAAATTCGCCATCAAGAAAAGACTTAAGATCCAGTTATAAGAAGGTGGCTTTTCAGGATTCNCACTGAGCCACCTGTGGAGAACAAGCATGGGTAGTAAGTAGTTAAGACGAAATCGAATTAAGTTTTTAAATAGGGTTTGGCTCAATCTCACTCTGGCCGCATATAAATCCACTCCATACATGTCGAGCTTTTTGGCATGTTCCAAAAAGTTGAACTCGGCCTCGGCTGGACTCTGTCCACTGAAAAAGCCGCTTTTTCTAAATTTCTTCTGGCAGTACTTCAGAAAACTAACCAGGACTCACCGATGCATCGCATGTAGTTCAGCGACCCTTTTCGGGAAATCGATGGATTGGGTTGGAGCGAATCGATACTGATTAAGGTAGCCTTCGGGATGATCTTCTGGTGAGTAGTCACCCAATTCGGCTGAAAATTTGCCAGTATTAATCGGAATTTATGAAAATTGAAAACTGAATCGAAAAATTGAATGAAGTACTGGAAAATGAGAGTAAAAATGAGGACGGATCGGGTAAAAAGAGCAAAACTGCACGACATAAGGCGGAGGGAGGTGGGTACGGCCGAAAATGAAATTAAAGTGATCTGAAAGTGACAGCTGAAAATGACAAAAACAGGGTATCAGACCGTTTCGGAGTGTTCAAAACAAAATTCGTAAAAAATCTCAAAATAATACGAGGGAATCGAAAATTTTTTAAATAAATATAAAAAATACTCTAAAAATCTTGATCTGCCCATATTCTTTTCAAATAACCAACATTGGACAGCATAGCTGGCTAGCAATGCAAGCGATCCTTCAGCACTTGGAAGACGACCTTCAAGCATATCGAGTCGTAGTTGCAAAAAGAAGTGGTACCTTAAACTTGTAGGTAATCAGACGGCGGAAACGGATAAATTCGAAGAAAAAGAGGACGGGAACAGGATTTGCTTCTAACCTTGTGTATTCTTCGACCAGCTTACTTGGATCGCTCACGTAGAATTTCACCCGGAAACAGAGATGAAATGGAGGGCAGACCATTTGTTTCCGAATCGATTTGTTTGGGTCCAGCCATCGCTGCAAAATAAGTGGGTGACCTTCAAGGAAACCCCAAAAAAGCATTGTATCGTTAGAAACCCCTCAAAATTTGAATTTAATGGGTTTTTGAATCAAATAAACGCTTCGCAATCATGCATTAGTATATTACACTAATTCTTTATTTCCTTATATATCCGTCCAGTACCTACCAACCTGAATGCTTTGAGATTCCCCTTAAATTCTTTTTTCTGGAGCGCTACGATTAGAAATAACAAATGCATTAAAGCGGACGATCCACTACAACAAAAGAAAGAATAAAAGCTGCCTGTTGAAGGAAATGACATAACTTTTTCGACAACTCCATGAACAATTTCAACTCGGCCCTAACGTCAGTAATACAAAAGGGCCTCATTCCCCTGACGTAAGGAAGCCCCCATTACGGCAGCGTTGGTAATGTCATATTATTTCGGTAAACGGGTAATGTCAAGCTCTGACCGAAGTAACTTTTTCTTCGTAAGTTCGTGAAAATAGATCTGCAGTCACTGAAAAAAGCGAAGCTTCTCGAGAATGAATGTTCGACGCAATACATTTGAAGAATTTTCCTTTGTTGCTCATTTTATTTATTTATTTGTTTACTCATTTATTCGAACTACACTGCTGCTTCATCAAAATAAATCAGAACTGGTATAGTCAATATAAAGTGAGGGAAAATTGACAAAAAAAAATTAAAAATAAAGCGATATCAAACGAAACAAAGTACAAACACGCTACTAGAGGGAGAAAATGGCCATTAGGCAACAACGCCCTAACTTAAAGGCAACTAACTGAGGGCAACAGGTCTGCTAGGCAACCCCCCCCCCCCTATAGCAAGCTTTTTCTCCAAAGAGCCACCCTTTTACCGCATCCACAGGATGACCAGAAAAGTATTAGGGAACCATAGCTCATGCTAAAATGTGGGAGGAGTGATCCTAGACGAACAACCAATCAGAGGCGCTCTATCCGGTCCCTATCGCGCCTACCAGTGGCTGACCACTTACCTTTTTGCAAATTATTTAAAGGTTTGTCATGTTGGAGACATTGCTTTTATATTACAAAAGCATGCTTAAAATAAATCATTTTCACGATATTCAGCAATACGGTATTGGAGTTTTACTGTACCATTGGATCTTACCTTCTGCGTGTCCTTCGTTCCCAGTACATAGAGGAACTGTAGCCCGAAAAAATCACGTTCAACCAATTCCAAATGTGCAAAGACCTTATCGAGCAGAACTGAGCCATGAGCGTGCCTCTGAAATGGGTACCTTCTCATTCTATTTCTTTATATCTCAGAAGTTTCCGATTTTGACCAGCGACGAGCCCGATGGATGAGAAAAGACTGTTTACTCACGTCTACTTGAAACTGCCGTTCGGAGGCGTCAAGGAACGATACGGTGCAGGTGATCGTGTGTCGGGCACTGGTGAGCAGCGACGGATTCAGCCCTTCGCTCCGGCGTACATCGTAACTGCCCGAACCGAAACGCATTCTCAATTTAGGACTTTCAAGTCATCAGCAAGTAACGACGCCGATCACTGCCATCAGTTAAGTCGTCGTAATCTGGAACGAATTCATTAGATCTGGATAAGCAAAATGGGTAAACGCAGTTGGAATCACGATATCAAGAAACACGAACGGGATGTTCAAAGTTCCGCAACACGAAAAATCGGAAATAGAAGGACACCGTTCAATGTTGTTCAAGAAAAAAATGGTTTGATCAACTATTTGCCATATTTTTAATAGGAACAACGTAGGTGAGGACAAACATTTAATAAACAAAAACTTCGCGAAGAGAGAATCGGCAAGGAGGGAGCACGTTAATGAGACTTATTCGAATTAAATGGATGGTCTAACGTTCAAAGGCACAGTTCACGATAAGTCTGGGTAATCCAGATTGTGACGAAAAATGGAAGCTAAGATGGGAAATAGTTCGATGAAGGCGGAGAAACTGCGTGAATTGGTGTTTCCAAAGTGAAAAAAGGGTTCGAAAAACCGTTGAAAAGGGGGCTGGACGAGAATGAGACCAGAAAATGAAGAAGAGTGGGGCGTTCGGACGAGCTATACAATATGTCTCACTGCGTGCGCGTGGGTTCAGGTACGAATAGCTGACTATGGTAAGCGGAAATTCATTCACTCATAAGCATAACTCAACAAAAAACCCTAATAACAGCAAAAATAGCCCACTTTTTTTAGCCTTGTATTAGAAAATTAAATACGGGATCGCAGCAGCAAAAAGAATAACAGAGAATAAGGGAATAGCAGAAAAACATCACCTCATTACTCGGCGATCAGCTGATTGTGTGTAGGTCCTAGAGCGAATATTGCAATCTGCATCGCCTCGACACTCGCCTGACGTGACATCGATAGAAGGGCGGGAAGTCCGGGCGATCCGGTAACAGGGCTCCCACTGTGCCCTAACTATTGAGATTTGAGACTCGACAGCGTCCTTCTTGTTACCCTTGAGGGCCACTGGGTATTCCTAGGGAGAGAACTCAGTAACCATTTTTATTGTGAACCGTGCCTTTGAATGCTCTAACTCAGGTAAGGTGAGTTATGCACTGGAACCCTGAACGGATAAGAGACGACAAGAAAACCGGAAATCGACAGCATGAAATGAAGTACTTCGGAGGATAAAAGATGAAACATCCATGACCAAGTTTTTCCGTTTAGCAGATCCAATTTAGGATACGCCCTCCCATTCAGTTCCTATCTAGAATCACTAGGTTTGCAAGCGTATTTGACCCGTAACATCACTTGAAAGGGCTCAGCAATCCAAAACTACCGCTCTTATCCGTCCAAACGAGGCTGAAGGACGTGGTAGCCGCTACTAATGTCGTCTTAGGATGCGTCATGTACACAACATCTATTCTGAATTGTTTGAGCAATTGAAAGGGTACATAGCTTACGGAATGATTTGTAAGCTAACGTCTACATCATTTTTCTTGGACAACATAGCTGCCAGTAAAGCGACCCTCGTGGGATAGTTAGCCTGATTAACTCTGGCGATTTCTATCGCCAACAGGGGACTTGCACCCCTCAGCTCTCAAACTCTACCCTCATCATTCAGCCCTACTGAAGTTGATGACTGGACCTAGAGAAAGGAAAAGAAAGAAAAGAAAAACTCAAAAACAAGCGGCACAAGGAAAAGAATCGGCTCATTTGCCAACTGCCAGATTTTTTTCGTCCAGCTAAGAAATATGGAACCAGTGGCAGGCCGTTTTTTGAGGAATCAAAAAAGAGAAAAGGAAAAAAGGAGGAAAATGAATAGCAGTAGGAAGCATAGAGAATGCTTGGGATGTATTTGTGTTTATTCTAGGCGGGGACAACATTTTTGCAATTTTTGCATAAGTCAAAAGCAAACCGAGGAAGGCAATTGACATTCACTGGAAAGAAAAGCATGTCTGAAGCTTTTCCTTTCGACAAAGCTTGTGGCAATTTGTCGTCGTTCAGGGAAATTGTCAAGAAAAATGCCATTCAATCGGAATGAACCTCTTAAAGAAACGCAATTTATGTTAATGAGAAGCAGTGAGAAGTCTAATCTCTCGGGAAATCAGAATCCTAACGAAAACTTCGCTTAGCATCCTAACAGGAAAGATCAGAAATCGACTTTTGTCCTATTACCTTACAAGGGCCCTAACCTCCCATTCAGATACCTGTTTATTTATTTATTTCTCAATGAAAAAGAGGGATTCCCTCCGTTACCGCGTCATATGGATCGGCTTGAGCTCAATCTGTCTGTTGATGGCTTTCTGCCGTCCTTCTTATGATAGGCCACCTTAAGAAGATTGAACTCTACGTCTCCAGGATGAGCATGATTTCAGGCACCCAAGTTGTCATGGAAAGGATAAAACTGAATGTTTACGGGCTCTCAAGTGCGAAAAGGAGTCCGGAGCTCTGGTGATCCGTTGGGGAACAGGGATTAGGCTGGCTGACGCCAAGAAATCGAAAATCAGGTGGGATGGGCACGTTATGCGATATCATGATGACCGTTGGACCAGGGCTCTTATTGAATATATCCCTCGGGACGTCAAACGAGCACTAGGATGGCCGCTAGCGCGTGGCCTGACTTCTCCACAGAAGCTCTGAACGAAAGAAATGCTGGGCCTCGTATCTCTCGAGCAAGGACAGTCCATTGAACCACTCCGGCTTGCGACAGGGACGGATGGAGACGTAGGACCGACCATACATTCTTATATTTCTTGAAGAACAAGTCTACTTGCCTGGGACTGAATCAAAGTAATTGCCCATTTTCGTTTACAAATAGTAATAGATTGCAGAAAAAGATACTGGAAAATAATGACCACCGGAAGAGGCAATCGATAAGAAGGAAGATTGAGGAGAGGTCCAAAGCACATAAAAAGAGCTGGTATCGGAGAGGAAATGGTCTCAATTCAATGTATCAAAAACGAAAAATTTAGTGATGGTGCGACGTAAATGTGAAGTAAAATGGGCGGAGGATTCCTATAAATGAAAATAAAGGGCGTCTGAAAAAGCCATCTATACAAAGGCAAAATGGGGTGGAAAGCAGTCCAGAAGATAATCAGAAATACGAAAAACTTTCCAAATAAGGTAGCAGGCCGAAACATTAGTCTGTTAGGAAAACGGGACAGACGGTCCCACAGACTGTTTCAAAAAGTAGGTCCAAAAGGAGTACCCAGCGCAGATTGAGTAATGGCGAAAACGGGTATGCTATAAAGTAGTAGCAAATGTCAGTCCAGGACCACAGCTCGTAATTATGGAAGTAAAAACAATTCATAGAAGGGAAGTAACAACAGTGAATAAACAAATAAACACAAATAATGCTGCACAAACAACAAAATACGCACAAAACGAAATGAATAGAACAAAACGAATGAGTAATGAAGTAGGTAATCATAATTGGAATGGACAAGAAACTCGATTCAGGTGGACAGGACCCTTCGCGACAATTTTTTTCCATCAAAAAATATAGTTTCCGTATTTTTCAAGGAGATACGAGATTCGAGCCATGCCAATGGAACAATCAAGCTAGCTCGGGGTAAGATGCTCGTCATGTTTTGATTGAGAATAGGCATGAAATAAACAAATAACAACTCCACCAAAAGGCCAAATTCCCATCCAGGGATAATAGAGGGAGTCTTCCGTTCCGTTAGATGGACAGCTGTCCAGTGGCTTACATCAACAACTATTTGTCCAGCCAATACATATTGCTTTCCTTTCTCTTTTTTCCCCTTCTACGGCATCGCCAGGTGAACGATGAGGTCTTCTGACGTAGGCTTGCTATAGCAACAAGACCATTCAACATACAGATATGTTACATATTTTGATGTGTTTATTATATTTTTACATTTTTTACATTATTTTTGTTAAAAAAGGGTGCTTGTAGGGTCGTCCTCACTAGAAATGACAGTAAACAAAAGCCATCGGGATTTTTAGGAATTCTCTGAAAGTTGCACAGCAGCATATCATATGGAATCCTGTAAAGTAAACAAAAATAGTAAACTTGTAAATATCGAAAATGCACACACAAGGGACGAGCGTTGTCCCATGTTGACCCTATTGACTCTATTCGCTGAATTCAGTAGAACAAAAGAAAAACGAAATAATTATGTGGGAATTTTCATGAGGAAGAGGGGGGGGGGGGG